TATAAATTCTCAATACTATTCTTCTAGGAAATGGATCCAGGAAGAGCCTCAAGCTATCAACAAAAAAGGTACAACTTTACAAGTAAATATCATTGGATCATGTGTATGACTTGTTGACCGAGTGTCGGTCAATATATTGGCTGATGTGTTGTTATTATTCAGCTTTGGGTGTCATCCAAATATTGTGCTCTATGTTCTCAAACTCATTAATAATTCATCAAGTTTAAACAAAGGAAATCATGACTGTGGCAGTGTTTGGATATTTGATCTTAATTAGCATAGATTTTTACGATTTTATTTCTCCGTTTTCTCCTTTGTTTTCGTTTCGATTGAGAAGATATATCAAACACTCAAGATAGTGTCTGACCACATTTCCAAACACCTTGAACTTCGTCAAAAATACTCCGCTGCGTGTCATATTTTCAACTCTCTTCTCGGTGTTTGGAAATGTGGTCAAACATGGTCTTTCATGTTTCATATATTACTTGAAAGATATGTGCATGACTTGTAGACTTATTGAGGACTGTACCAGTTTGGAGAAAAAGAAGCCCAAGTGTTTTTGGTACAGTGAAGTCCATATTTTGGAAACATAAATACCTCCATTTAATAAGTACTACAAGTTATGGAAAATGCACAATAAGATACCAGGGTCCATATACAGTTGTATCTGATCAAAAATTAGCGAGGAATTAAGGACATCACCAACCCTCATGACGTTTAAGACGAGAATGAGACAAATTGACCTTTCAGACCTCATTGACAACAATCTAGCAGTTCCTGGAAACTATGTAAATCGTGAACAGAATCATTTTTATATTATTATCGTGGTGTAATTAAGTATTTATCAACTTCAATATTTATTTATTAATTTTTGTAAACCAGTCATTAGGTATTGACTTTAGTTAGGTGTCCCCAATTAGCTAATCTATAGCTAAATGCACATTGACACATTAATAAAGTTTTCATTCATTCATTTATTCATTCATAACACATAGAAAATAGTAATTATTTCCCAAGGTTCAACTGCATAACAAGTTTTAATTAATAACTATTATTAAACTTGTTATTCAGTTGGATCTTGGAAAATGAAAAATAGTTCAAGAGGTCAGGGTTCAACTAGATAACTGGAAGCAACTGACTGAAAAAGCACACCTAAGGGAAAATGATCTGGGTTCAAGATAGCAGGGAGTTTGAGATAGTGAGGTGCTACTATAGTAATTGTATTTATCACAAAATTTCAAATGTTGCTGTTTAGAGTGTTCAATGCAGTTAGCTACACCTAGCTAGTTCACAGGCATGTCACTTAAAGTGCCTATGAATTGAAATTTTTTTTGCGTTTATCTGTCGCTTGTTATGTCTACTTTTCAAAACTGTGTAAAGCAAATAATGTTACGAAGAGAAAAATCTGACTTTTTGCTGCCCAAAGTGAGCTTAGTATAGCAAAACAGTGGGTTTGGAGACTGGCAACGAGTTTACAAGTGATGATGTACATGTAGTTAACAACTGCATCGCAAAATGGAGGCTGGGTGCCTGTGATATCCAGGAGCTTCCACTATTGGCAGC